TCCGATGTTTGACTTGTTTCAACAGACGCCTTCCAACTTCCTGACTTAAAAAGTCCTGTAAAATTTATGAGCCACTCCAAGAAGCCCATTGATTCTTTAAGAACAGGGGGGAGAATGACAATTTGGGGCTGCCTCTGCCCCTCCTCCCTGCCCTTCCTGCCACGTCCCCAGATGGGCCTCTCTTACCCTCATGCCCATTGAACCCTCACAGCCCCAGTGAACGAAGGGGGTGCCCACGGCTCCTATGCCAGGACCAACGTGGTGTTCCCTGTGGTTCCAGGGTTTGCTTGTTGAGTGGAAGCGCAAGGGAGTGCAGGACAGGGTAGTAGCTTCCCCGAGAGGCACATGAAGGACAGGGTGGGTTGACGAAGCAGGCAGGGGAGCAGGAGGCCAGGGCAGGGCAGCTTGAGGGACTCCCCGTTCATGGCTGGGAAGCCCAAGGTCAGGGCTATGCTCATTCTGAGCCCCCTGCCTCTCCATGCACCCTCACACATGGGGATGCACAGGTATTCTGTGTCTGTTGCTCAAGCTCATGACTCAGGGGTGCCCCCTGTCCCAAATTACCCCAGGCAGCCTCTGGAACTTGGCTCCCTCTCTCCCTTTCTGCTTACATACAAAATGGACTCAGGATTAAGAGGATTGGACAATGCAAGCATTATCCACTGACTTGAGAACAGACAAGCAATCTTAGCAATCTTCATCTGCGCTTATATTTTCCTCCCATGAATTCTACAAGTCAGAGGCATTTGAGTGGAGTCATTTGGCAACACTTTCCTTAATTCGGAGTTTTGTTAAGATCCTCAACCAGGGATGCCGCATCTTGGCTAACCCATGCTGCGTCCATCTTGGTCTGTCCAGGTACTCTGTGGATACTGGGGGTCCCTTTGCCCTGTTGACTTCTGCAGTGGCTTCTTTGAGGGGCCGGGGCTGGGGTGTCCAAAGGGTGAGGATGCTGCAGCTGCACAAAGTGGAGAGTATGGGACTGACACACCTTGCCTGTCACCCTGCCAAACTGCTGATGAGCTTTTAGGTGACAATGCCATGGTCACCAAAATCCTATCCATCTACAATGCCACTCTTGGGGCCAGTGTGGTGGCATTGTGGACTAAGCCACTGCCAGCGAGGGCTGCATCCCATAGGAATGCTGGTTTGAGTCCTGGCCATTCCATTTCTGAGCTAGTTCCAGGCTGATGCACCTGGGAAAGCAGTGGATGGCCAACGCCACCCATGTGGGAGACCTGGATGGAGTCCCTGGCTTCTGGCCTCAGCTTGGATGTTGTGGTCATTTGCAGAGTGAACCAGAGATTGGAAGATCTCTCTCCCTTCTCTCCCTCATCTTCTCTGACTCTGCCTTTCAAACCAACAAACTACAAACATTTTGGAAAAAATAAGATGTTACTCTTTCCATAAGCAGGATGAAGACAAGCCAGGGTCCTATCCCCACCTTCTGTAGGAAATCAGAACCCCACGTCAGTCACGTGGCCAATGTGCTGGGGAGACAGAATCAACCATTCAGCCCTGAGCCCAGGACTGGTTCCTTGTTTCACACAAGTGCAGCCTGCTGGGCAGGCTGTGGGTCCAGGAGGAGGAGAGCATTGAGCAGCCCAGTAGGACAGGTAGAGGTCGAGGTAGAGGAGATGGCCCTTGTGTGAATAAGTGTCTCAAGATAGCAAGGATAGAATTGTCCATGACTGATAAGCAAGTGGCTGTCTTATCTCTACTGGTTTTTTTTTTTTTTTTGGATTGGTGGCAGCCACCTGATTAGAAGTGCAAGGGAAAGGTCATGTAGGATTGGGAAGAATGATTTGTCAGAGTGAAGTGTGAGCTGTGGGATGTCAGGCGAGACCACGATCTGCTACTCACAGATTTTGAGCCAAGAGAGATTGTGCCTGGGGCATTGGTGTGAATGCGGACTTGTGTTTGAATGTGGCTAGAATGCTGTGGGAGCTTGTTGCCTATTGGCCTGTAATTGGCTCAGCCAGGGGAGTGCAGGCAGCTTAGGGCAGAGGCTTGTCAACAGAAGTCTGCACAAACACACAGACCCATGGCTGTGCTGTCAACAGCTCAAGTCACAAATCCCAGAGCACAGCAGCTAGGGCCATGCTTGCAACGGCAGCATTAGATAGGAGCATGAACTCTAGTTCTGGCTGCTCTGCTTCCCATCCTGCTCCTTGCTCATGTGTCTAGGAAGGCAGCAGAGCTTTCTCATGCTCTGGCCCATGTATGTGGACCTCTGAAATAAACACACATGGGGGAGACATGGATGGCATTCCTGCCACCTGGCTTTCGCTTGGATCAGCCCTGGATGTTGTGGTCATCTGAGAAGTAAACTAGCAAATGGAAGACCCCTTTCCCTTTGTCACTCTGCATTTCAAATAAATATATATCAACAAAAATGTCATAAATCATAGTGAGGCCCTAGGAAATAGCAAAGGACACCACATGTAGGATCTCCCAGAAGGAACAGAGAGCTATGATTCCATTGGGAGTTTGGCCAAACGCAAATGTATTCGAGGCAGTTTTTGAATCTTAGAAAGGGAGCTTGAACTTTAAGCTCAAGGGCTTCAATTCCAGCTTGTCATAGTCTAACTACATTTCAAAGAGATATGAATTTCATACACCACCACACTGACTGATTTTTACAGCATATGGGGTTTCCACAACAGGTAATGATGAAACAAGCAGTGAGACACCAACAACTTCGACCACAGAAGTTTTCACCTACTCACCGCCTTCACACTCGGCCACCACTGCAGGTGCTACAGCTTCTTCAGGATCACAGGGAACTACTGCCACAATCCTGACATTGGCTAGCAGTGTGGAGACAAGCACAGAATCACAATCCACTGCCACCAACACGTTAAACACTGCAAACAAAACCCTTTTCACAGGAACCTACACTTCCAAGAGAATTGAGAGCATGACAACATTAGGAAGTAATAGCCAGTCATATTCTACAACTGCACATACAACAGAGACAACAATATTGAAAAAATCAGAGCACTCCTCAACAAATGTGAACTCAAAAACAATGGAAAGTGCAACTACATTCAGCGAATCAGCAACAACGACAGAACAAGAAAATAACCCAGAATCCATAACAACAATTGAGAAAACTGAGAATATCCAGGACAGAGATGACACACCAGGGTTGAGCCCTGTGCCCAGCAGCTCAGGCTCGACAGCCACAACTGATGTCACTGAGAGCTCCGAGACCACAGTCACCACATCAGAGTCGACCACTGTGACCAGCAGCTCAAGCTCCACAGCCACGACTGAGACTACGGAGAGCTCCAGACCACAGCCACCAATACAGAGTCGACCCCTGTGCCAGCAGCCCAAGCTCCACAGCCACGACTGAGACTACGGAGAGCTCCGAGACCACAGCCATCACATCTGAGTCGACCCCTGTGCCACAGCAGCTCAAGCTCCACAGCCACCACTGAGACTACGGAGAGCTCCCTGCACCACAGCCATCACATCTGAGTCGCAGACTGTGCCCAGCAGCCCAAGCTCCACAGCCACGACTGAGACTACGGAGAGCTCCGAGACCACAGCCATCACATCTGAGTCGACCCCTGTGCCCAGCAGCCAAGCTCCACAGCCTCAACTGAGAGACTACGGAGAGCTCCCAGACCACAGCCATCACATCTGAGTCGACCCCTGTGCCCAGCAGCCCAAGCTCCACAGCCACGACTGAGACTACGGAGAGCTCCCAGACCACAGCCATCACATCTGAGTCGACCCCTGTGACCAGCAGCCAAGCTCCACAGCCACGACTGAGACTACGGAGAGCTCCCAGACCACAGCCATCACATCTGAGTCGACCCCTGTGCCAGCAGTCCAAGCTCCACAGCCACGACTGAGACTACGGAGAGCTCCCTAGACCACAGCCATCACATCTGAGTCGACCCCTGTGACCAGCAGCCCAAGCTCCACAGCCACGACTGAGACTACGGAGAGCTCCGAGACCACAGCCATCACATCTGAGTCGACCCCTGTGACCAGCAGCCCAAGCTCCACAGCCACGACTGAGACTACGGAGAGCTCCAGACCACAGCCATCACATCTGAGTCGACCCTGTGCCAGCAGCCAAGCTCCACAGCCACGACTGAGACTCGGAGAGCTCCAGACCACAGCCATCACATCTGAGTCGACCCCTGTGACCAGCAGCCCAAGCTCCACAGCCACGACTGAGACTACGGAGAGCTCCCAGACCAGTCACCACATCTGAGTCGACCCCTGTGCCAGCAGCCCAAGCTCCACAGCCACGACTGAGAACTGAGAGCTCCAGACCACAGCCATCACATCTGAGTCGACCCCTGTGCCCAGCAGCCCAAGCTCCACAGCCACGACTGAGACTACGGAGAGCTCCCAGACCACAGCCATCACATCTGAGTCGACCCCTGTGCCCAGCAGCCCAAGCTCCACAGCCACGACTGAGACTACGGAGAGCTCCCAGACCACAGCCATCACATCTGAGTCGACCCCTGTGCCCAGCAGCCCAAGCTCCACAGCCACGACTGAGACTACGGAGAGCTCCCAGACCACAGCCATCACATCTGAGTCGACCCCTGTGCCCAGCAGCCCAAGCTCCACAGCCACGACTGAGACTACGGAGAGCTCCCAGACCACAGCCATCACATCTGAGTCGACCCCTGTGCCCAGCAGCCCAAGCTCCACAGCCACGACTGAGACTACGGAGAGCTCCCAGACCACAGCCATCACATCTGAGTCGACCCCTGTGCCAGCAGCCAAGCTCCACAGCCACACTGAGTACGGAGAGCTCCCAGACCACAGCCATCACATCGAGTCGCCCCTGTGCCCAGCAGCCAAGCTCCACAGCCACGACTGAGACTACGGAGAGCTCCCAGACCACAGCCATCACATCTGAGTCGACCCCTGTGCCCAGCAGCCCAAGCTCCACAGCCACGACTGAGACTACGGAGAGCTCCCAGACCACAGCCATCACATCTGAGTCGACCCCTGTGCCCAGCAGCCCAAGCTCCACAGCCACGACTGAGACTACGGAGAGCTCCCAGACCACAGCCATCACATCTGAGTCGACCCCTGTGCCCAGCAGCCCAAGCTCCACAGCCACGACTGAGACTACGGAGAGCTCCCAGACCACAGCCATCACATCTGAGTCGACCCCTGTGCCCAGCAGCCCAAGCTCCACAGCCACGACTGAGACTACGGAGAGCTCCCAGACCACAGCCATCACATCTGAGTCGACCCCTGTGCCCAGCAGCCCAAGCTCCACAGCCACGACTGAGACTACGGAGAGCTCCCAGACCACAGCCATCACATCTGAGTCGACCCTGTGCCAGCAGCCCAGCTCCACAGCCACGACTGAGACTACGGAGAGCTCCCAGACCACAGCCATCACATCTGAGTCGACCCCTGTGCCCAGCAGCCCAAGCTCCACAGCCACGACTGAGACTACGGAGAGCTCCCAGACCACAGCCATCACATCTGAGTCGACCCCTGTGCCCAGCAGCCCAAGCTCCACAGCCACGACTGAGACTACGGAGAGCTCCCAGACCACAGCCATCACATCTGAGTCGACCCCTGTGCCCAGCAGCCCAAGCTCCACAGCCACGACTGAGACTACGGAGAGCTCCCAGACCACAGCCATCACATCTGAGTCGACCCCTGTGCCCAGCAGCCCAAGCTCCACAGCCACGACTGAGACTACGGAGAGCTCCCAGACCACAGCCATCACATCTGAGTCGACCCCTGTGCCCAGCAGCCCAAGCTCCACAGCCACGACTGAGACTACGGAGAGCTCCCAGACCACAGCCATCACATCTGAGTCGACCCCTGTGCCCAGCAGCCCAAGCTCCACAGCCACGACTGAGACTACGGAGAGCTCCCAGACCACAGCCATCACATCTGAGTCGACCCCTGTGCCCAGCAGCCCAAGCTCCACAGCCACGACTGAGACTACGGAGAGCTCCCAGACCACAGCCATCACATCTGAGTCGACCCCTGTGCCCAGCAGCCCAAGCTCCACAGCCACGACTGAGACTACGGAGAGCTCCCAGACCACAGCCATCACATCTGAGTCGACCCCTGTGCCCAGCAGCCCAAGCTCCACAGCCACGACTGAGACTACGGAGAGCTCCCAGACCACAGCCATCACATCTGAGTCGACCCCTGTGCCCAGCAGCCCAAGCTCCACAGCCACGACTGAGACTACGGAGAGCTCCCAGACCACAGCCATCACATCTGAGTCGACCCCTGTGCCCAGCAGCCCAAGCTCCACAGCCACGACTGAGACTACGGAGAGCTCCCAGACCACAGCCATCACATCTGAGTCGACCCCTGTGCCCAGCAGCCCAAGCTCCACAGCCACGACTGAGACTACGGAGAGCTCCCAGACCACAGCCATCACATCTGAGTCGACCCCTGTGCCCAGCAGCCCAAGCTCCACAGCCACGACTGAGACTACGGAGAGCTCCCAGACCACAGCCATCACATCTGAGTCGACCCCTGTGCCCAGCAGCCCAAGCTCCACAGCCACGACTGAGACTACGGAGAGCTCCCAGACCACAGCCATCACATCTGAGTCGACCCCTGTGCCCAGCAGCCCAAGCTCCACAGCCACGACTGAGACTACGGAGAGCTCCCAGACCACAGCCATCACATCTGAGTCGACCCCTGTGCCCAGCAGCCCAAGCTCCACAGCCACGACTGAGACTACGGAGAGCTCCCAGACCACAGCCATCACATCTGAGTCGACCCCTGTGCCAGCAGCCAAGCTCCACAGCCACACTGAGACTACGGAGAGCTCCCAGACCACGCCATCACATCTGAGTCGACCCCTGTGCCCAGCAGCCAAGCTCCACAGCCACGACTGAGACTACGGAGAGCTCCCAGACCACAGCCATCACATCTGAGTCGACCCCTGTGCCCAGCAGCCCAAGCTCCACAGCCACGACTGAGACTACGGAGAGCTCCCAGACCACAGCCATCACATCTGAGTCGACCCCTGTGCCCAGCAGCCCAAGCTCCACAGCCACGACTGAGACTACGGAGAGCTCCCAGACCACAGCCATCACATCTGAGTCGACCCCTGTGCCCAGCAGCCCAAGCTCCACAGCCACGACTGAGACTACGGAGAGCTCCCAGACCACAGCCATCACATCTGAGTCGACCCCTGTGCCCAGCAGCCCAAGCTCCACAGCCACGACTGAGACTACGGAGAGCTCCCAGACCACAGCCATCACATCTGAGTCGACCCCTGTGCCCAGCAGCCCAAGCTCCACAGCCACGACTGAGACTACGGAGAGCTCCCAGACCACAGCCATCACATCTGAGTCGACCCCTGTGCCCAGCAGCCCAAGCTCCACAGCCACGACTGAGACTACGGAGAGCTCCCAGACCACAGCCATCACATCTGAGTCGACCCCTGTGCCCAGCAGCCCAAGCTCCACAGCCACGACTGAGACTACGGAGAGCTCCCAGACCACAGCCATCACATCTGAGTCGACCCCTGTGCCCAGCAGCCCAAGCTCCACAGCCACGACTGAGACTACGGAGAGCTCCCAGACCACAGCCATCACATCTGAGTCGACCCCTGTGCCCAGCAGCCCAAGCTCCACAGCCACGACTGAGACTACGGAGAGCTCCCAGACCACAGCCATCACATCTGAGTCGACCCCTGTGCCCAGCAGCCCAAGCTCCACAGCCACGACTGAGACTACGGAGAGCTCCCAGACCACAGCCATCACATCTGAGTCGACCCCTGTGCCCAGCAGCCCAAGCTCCACAGCCACGACTGAGACTACGGAGAGCTCCCAGACCACAGCCATCACATCTGAGTCGACCCCTGTGCCCAGCAGCCCAAGCTCCACAGCCACGACTGAGACTACGGAGAGCTCCCAGACCACAGCCATCACATCTGAGTCGACCCCTGTGCCCAGCAGCCCAAGCTCCACAGCCACGACTGAGACTACGGAGAGCTCCCAGACCACAGCCATCACATCTGAGTCGACCCCTGTGCCCAGCAGCCCAAGCTCCACAGCCACGACTGAGACTACGGAGAGCTCCCAGACCACAGCCATCACATCTGAGTCGACCCCTGTGCCCAGCAGCCCAAGCTCCACAGCCACGACTGAGACTACGGAGAGCTCCCAGACCACAGCCATCACATCTGAGTCGACCCCTGTGCCCAGCAGCCCAAGCTCCACAGCCACGACTGAGACTACGGAGAGCTCCCAGACCACAGCCATCACATCTGAGTCGACCCCTGTGCCCAGCAGCCCAAGCTCCACAGCCACGACTGAGACTACGGAGAGCTCCAGACCACAGCCATCACATCTGAGTCGACCCCTGTGCCAGCAGCCCAAGCTCCACAGCCACGACTGAGACTACGGAGAGCTCCCAGACCACAGCCATCACATCTGAGTCGACCCCTGTGCCAGCAGCCCAAGCTCCACAGCCACGACTGAGACTACGGAGAGCTCCCAGACCACAGCCATCACATCTGAGTCGACCCCTGTGCCCAGCAGCCCAAGCTCCACAGCCACGACTGAGACTACGGAGAGCTCCCAGACCACAGCCATCACATCTGAGTCGACCCCTGTGCCCAGCAGCCCAAGCTCCACAGCCACGACTGAGACTACGGAGAGCTCCCAGACCACAGCCATCACATCTGAGTCGACCCCTGTGCCCAGCAGCCCAAGCTCCACAGCCACGACTGAGACTACGGAGAGCTCCCAGACCACAGCCATCACATCTGAGTCGACCCCTGTGCCCAGCAGCCCAAGCTCCACAGCCACGACTGAGACTACGGAGAGCTCCCAGACCACAGCCATCACATCTGAGTCGACCCCTGTGCCCAGCAGCCCAAGCTCCACAGCCACGACTGAGACTACGGAGAGCTCCCAGACCACAGCCATCACATCTGAGTCGACCCCTGTGCCCAGCAGCCCAAGCTCCACAGCCACGACTGAGACTACGGAGAGCTCCCAGACCACAGCCATCACATCTGAGTCGACCCCTGTGCCCAGCAGCCCAAGCTCCACAGCCACGACTGAGACTACGGAGAGCTCCCAGACCACAGCCATCACATCTGAGTCGACCCCTGTGCCCAGCAGCCCAAGCTCCACAGCCACGACTGAGACTACGGAGAGCTCCCAGACCACAGCCATCACATCTGAGTCGACCCACTGTGCCCAGCAGCCCAAGCTCCACAGCCACGACTGAGACTACGGAGAGCTCCCAGACCACAGCCATCACATCTGAGTCGACCCCTGTGCCAGCAGCCCAAGCTCCACAGCCACGCTGAGACTGAGACTCAGACCACAGCATCACATCGAGTCGCCCCTGTGCCAGCAGCCAGCTCCACGCCACGCGAGTCACGAGACTCCAGACCACAGCACACATCTGAGTCGACCCCTGTGCCCAGCAGCCCAAGCTCCACAGCCACGACTGAGACTACGGAGAGCTCCTAGACCACAGCCATCACATCTGAGTCGACCCCTGTGCCCAGCAGCCCAAGCTCCACAGCCACGACTGAGACTACGGAGAGCTCCTAGACCACAGCCATCACATCTGAGTCGACCCCTGTGCCCAGCAGCCCAAGCTCCACAGCCACGACTGAGACTACGGAGAGCTCCCAGACCACAGCCATCACATCTGAGTCGACCCCTGTGCCCAGCAGCCCAAGCTCCACAGCCACGACTGAGACTACGGAGAGCTCCCTGACCACAGCCATCACATCTGAGTCGACCCCTGTGCCCAGCAGCCCAAGCTCCACAGCCACGACTGAGACTACGGAGAGCTCCCAGACCACAGCCATCACATCTGAGTCGACCCCTGTGCCCAGCAGCCCAAGCTCCACAGCCACGACTGAGACTACGGAGAGCTCCTGAGACCACAGCCATCACATCTGAGTCGACCCCTGTGCCCAGCAGCCCAAGCTCCACAGCCACGACTGAGACTACGGAGAGCTCCCAGACCACAGCCATCACATCTGAGTCGACCCCTGTGCCCAGCAGCCCAAGCTCCACAGCCACGACTGAGACTACGGAGAGCTCCCAGACCACAGCCATCACATCTGAGTCGACCCCTGTGCCCAGCAGCCCAAGCTCCACAGCCACGACTGAGACTACGGAGAGCTCCCAGACCACAGCCATCACATCTGAGTCGACCCCTGTGCCCAGCAGCCCAAGCTCCACAGCCACGACTGAGACTACGGAGAGCTCCCAGACCACAGCCATCACATCTGAGTCGACCCCTGTGCCCAGCAGCCCAAGCTCCACAGCCACGACTGAGACTACGGAGAGCTCCCAGACCACAGCCATCACATCTGAGTCGACCCCTGTGCCCAGCAGCCCAAGCTCCACAGCCACGACTGAGACTACGGAGAGCTCCCAGACCACAGCCATCACATCTGAGTCGACCCCTGTGCCCAGCAGCCCAAGCTCCACAGCCACGACTGAGACTACGGAGAGCTCCCAGACCACAGCCATCACATCTGAGTCGACCCCTGTGCCCAGCAGCCCAAGCTCCACAGCCACGACTGAGACTACGGAGAGCTCCTGACCACAGCCATCACATCAGAGTCGCCCCTGTGCCCAGCAGCCCAAGCTCCACAGCCACGACTGAGACTACGGAGAGCTCCCAGACCACAGCCATCACATCTGAGTCGACCCCTGTGCCCAGCAGCCCAAGCTCCACAGCCACGACTGAGACTACGGAGAGCTCCCAGACCACAGCCATCACATCTGAGTCGACCCCTGTGCCCAGCAGCCCAAGCTCCACAGCCACGACTGAGACTACGGAGAGCACCCAGACCACAGCCATCACATCTGAGTCGACCCCTGTGCCAGCAGCCCAAGCTCCACAGCCACGACTGAGACTACGGAGAGCTCCCAGACCACAGCCATCACATCTGAGTCGACCCCTGTGCCCAGCAGCCCAAGCTCCACAGCCACGACTGAGACTACGGAGAGCTCCCAGACCACAGCCATCACATCTGAGTCGACCCCTGTGCCCAGCAGCCCAAGCTCTACAGCGACGACTGCGTCTAGTGAGACAAAGTTCTCACACACCTCTCACACTACTGCCCTGGAAGGTTCTAGTACCTTCCCCAGTAGTGCTGGTTCTGTTATTACCTCATCACCTAGTGACAACTCTCAAACCACACTTTTGTCAGATTTGACAACCTTCCAGAATAGCCCAGAATCCACAACTGCAGCGCAGTCCAGTTTCAGTTCCCTGACCACTGTGGTCCCAACAGAGACTACAACGTTCCAGAGTACTTCAGCTTCTGCCCTCCCAACAGTGACGTCCACCAGCTCCCCAAGCTCAGCGATCACAGAAGGATCCAGCAGCAGCTTCCCAGGCAGCCCAGGCTCAGCACCTACCATACTGCCCAGTTCCAGCTTCCCAACCACAGTTGTGACTGAGTCCACTACCTTTCCAAGTAGCTCTGGATCAATATCCACGCGATGGCCTGGTCACAGTTCTCCAACCATAGTTGTCTCCACAGATTCCACCACTTTCCAAAGCAGCATGGGGACATTGCCCACTGGCACCTCCCAAACCACAGTTCTAGGAGGGTCTTCAAGCTTCCCCAGTAGTCCAGGATTCAGAACCACGACCCTGCCCTGGGACAGCACCCTGACCACAGAGAACAACGGACAGTCTACCACCTTCCAGAGCACTTCCACTTGCCTCTTCCCGACAGTGACATCCATGGGCTCCCCAAGCACAATGCCCACAGAAGGTTCTACAGTCTCTGTCAGTAGCAGCACAGGCTCAGCCATGTCAACTGTGACACCAGTCAACCCTGAGGACACAGCCCTCACTGTGACATCGCCCACCTCGTCCAGCAGCTCTGTGCCCAGCATGGAGCCGACAGAAACCTCCCTGACCACTTCATCCACTGAGGCATCCACGGTCATTTCCAGTGGTCCAGTGTCATCCCAGTCCACACTGGCACCTGACACCACTCACACCACAGTCCTCAGTGAGGCTTCTTCATCCCTCCCAGGTAGCACAACTTCACACGTCCCAGGCTACACTGTCACCTCCCACACCACGGTGCTTTCTGAATCATCCACAACTGTCCCGAGGACCTCTGGATCGGCACACACAACCTTGCCTGATAGCAGCTCCCAAACCACTGCCCTCGGAGCAGAGTCTACCATGTTCTCCAGCAGCTCAACTCCGTCCTTCCCCACGGTCACTGTGCAGACCTCCATCTTCTCCTCCACGCCTGGGGCTGCCCTCAGCACCATGATCTCCAGCAGCCCCACCTCAGCAGCTTCCTCCCTTGCTCCCTCATCCACGAAAACCTCAGCCAGCTTCCCTCCTGCTTTGTCCTCCTCCCCCAGCTCCACCCCTTCCTCACCCCCTTTGTCCAATGCCTCCTCCCTCAGTCCCTCGTTCTCCAGCAGCTACTCCACAGTGACAACCACGCTGTCCACGTCGAGCACCCCAGGTATGCTCTGCCCCTCGTTGGTTTCTTGGTGCCCCTGTCCCAGCCTTGCTCCTGCTTATCCTCTTCATTGCTGAGTCCCTTGTCACCACATCTCCACTCCTACTTGTGCCTGCCCTGCCGCCTGCCGCCCACGAGGGCTCATGCCTTCTGGTGATGTGTAGGACCCGGGGGTTCTCTGCCCTTCCTCCTGTTTTGTTCTTTTCTTCCTCTCTGTTTTCTCCTCCTCCTTTTCCCACCAGTTCTTGGGTGTGAGGGAGTGGTAGGTGGAGGGTCCTATACTTCAAAAATCTCATTTTTAAAAAATTTGCTTTTATTTGAAAGGCAGAGCTAGAGAAAGAGGGCAGGGAGAGAGAGAGAGAGAATCATGTATTGGTTCATTCCCCAAGTGGCCACAGTGGCCAATCCAAAGCCAAGAGCTTCCTCTAGGTCTCCCACGTGGGTACAGGGTCCCGAGGACTTGGGCCATCTTCCACTGATTTTCTAGGTCATAAATAGGGAGCTGGATAGGAAGTGGAGCAGTTGGAACTAGAACTGGCACCCATACGGGATGCTGACTCTGCAGGTGAAATCTTTGACTACTATGTCACCATGCAGCTACCCCAAAAGTTGATTTTTAAAGAGAGTGAAAGGGCAAGAGAGAGAAAGAACCCCCATCTGCTGTCTCACTGCTCAGCAGCCTGCAGAAACAGGCTGAAGCTGGGGAGCTGGGATCCGTCCAGGTGTCTCTGGTGTGTGGCAGAAACTCATGAACCTGAGCTGTCAGCTGCCTGCTCCTGGGGCCTGCGTTCAGCAGGAAGCTGGCAGACGGATGAGAGCAGGAGCTTGATGAGGCACTCCCGTGGGGGACATACCCTCCCCACTGGCTTCTTTCTTTCTCTCTCTCTTTTTAAGATTTTAAATTTTTTTATTGGAAAGATTTACAGAGAGAAGCAGAGACAGAAAGATCTTTCATCTGTTGGTTCATTCTCCAAGTGGCCACAACAACTGGAGCTGAGTTGATCCAAAGCCAGGAGCCAGGAGCTTCCTCCTGATCTCCCATAAAGGTGCAGGGTACCAAGGCTTCAGGCCATCTTCTACTGCTTTCTCAGGCCACAAGCAGGAAGCTGGATGGGAAGTGGAGCAGCCAGGATATGAACAGGTGCCCATATGAGATCCCCAGCATGTGCAAGGCTAGGACTTTAGCCAATAGGCTACTGCGCCAGGTCCCCCACTGGCTTCTTAATAACTAGGCTGAATGTCCACCCAACCCCTTTGGATACAGTGTGTGGTCCAGGAGCTAGTATCAGTTTCATCCCTTGGGCTTTCTGTGTTAACCTGTGTGACTTCTGTCGCCCTGCAGGCCAATGCCAGAGCTGGGAGATGTGGGACGGCCACGAATGTGTTTGCGCCCCGGGCTTCTTCGGGGAGGAGTGCCAGTCCTTCAGCTACTCCTTCCCCTTGGGTAACCACCTCCTCAGAGTCCCTACCCCACCCTTCTGCCACCTGCAGGGCCTTCCCCCTGCCCGCCTGCCCCCATCTCTATCCTAAGCCTTTGGGGAGCCCTCCTTTTCGTTCTCAGCCCTGGTCACATTGAGGGTGCCCGAGGCCTTCCAACCCACGTGACTCACAGAAGGAGAGCTCTGCCCTCCCGGGGACCTTGCTGGGAGGTGGGTGTCTCATGCCTTGTGCGGCCCCCTTCTCACAGAGGTCCCCGATGTCCTCAATGCCACTGTGACCGTGATCGTGAAAGTGACTCACAGGACCTTCACCACAGACTTGAGTAACACCTCCTCCCAGGCGTACAAAGATTTCACCAAACTCTTTGAAGAAGAGGTAAGGCTAGGAATGCCCAGTTGTGGCTCCCCGAGTCCCGAGAAGGGCTGTTCACCCCAATGCCTGCTGTGCCCTGGCAGAGGGGAGTTCCCGGGCCTTCCCTTGTTCCCTCTGGATTCCACCAGGGACTCCTGGAACCTGGCACTGGCCTGCAGGGGCTGGCTGCCTCTGTACTCCCAGCCCTGTGCAAGCTCACCCCTGCCTCCCTCCTTGCAGATGAACAAAGTGTACAACTTCACTGGCTACAATGGAGTGATCGTGCGCAGCCTCTCGTGAGTACCAGGGGGCGGGTGAACCGACCACACCGCCTCCTGTTGTGGACCGGGAGGGTGTTGGCACTGGCTAAGCTGGGGCAGCCCTGACACCCGCCCTTCTTGTCGATTGTTTATTCATTCCTTCACCATGTGCTCCTTTATCCGTCATCACCTTTTTATTCTCCATTGCTTAGTCACATTTTTCTTCATTGTCATGGTTCTTCCATTACTACCTCATTTGCTCCTTTCTTCCTTCCTCGCCTGTTCATCAAATCATTCACTGGTACTTCATTCGTTCTTGTGCTATTTACTGTCCATTCCTCCACTATTTCCGCTTCCACCTGGCTTGGGATGTTGGAGGCTCTAGACAGCACTGCTTAGCATGTGAGGCCTGGCAGGGAAGCCAGTAGCAAAGAGGAACCCTGGGTGACTGCACTCGGATGACTCTTTCCCACCCTCAGCAGGTGCCTGAAGTACAGCCCCAGTCATGTGCTGGGTTTATGCTTAGGCTCTGATGGAACCACCACGCTGTTTCCCTCCATGGCTGCACCGGTTCACCTTTGCGCCCGCAAGGCACAAAGGGCCCGATATCCCCCCCCACCCCATTCTTGGCCATGGATTTCTATCTGAAAAATTCATGTGTTTATTTGAAAGTCAAAGTTGAGAGAGATCTTCCATACATTGGCTCACTTCCCCCATGGCTACAATGCCAGGGCTGGGCCATGCAGAAGCCAGGACCTTCTTCTTGGTCTCCCACGAGGGAGCAGGGGCCCAAGTACCTGGGCCATCCTTTGCTACTTTCCTAGCAGCATTATCAGGGAGCTGGATCAGAAGCCAAGCAGCCAAGATGCCAAGTGGCGCTCATGTAGGATGCCCGGATAGCAGGTAGCAGCTTATCCCACTGTGCCACGCTGCCAGGCCGCATGAACTTCTATTGATAGAGATGAGTTTCATCCCCACACCGGTTTTGTGTGGTTTGCCCCGTCTCTCCAGGTTGCCAGCGGCTCCTGGGAAGAGCCCCCTTTCTTTCCCACTTCTGGGTCTTGTGAGCTGCTTTGTCTGGGGCCCCTCCTGCGGGGTGGGCAGGCGGCTGACTGCAGGCAGGGTGGGGGGAGTAACCCAGGAATCAACTCCCTCTTTCAGCAAAGGCAGCATCGTGGTGCAGCATGATGTGCTCTTGGAAATAGACTACACCCCTGACTACCAGCAGCAGTTTGATAACCTTGAGAAGATCGTGAGGGACAGGATCATGAACGAGACACGTACTACCCACGATAATGACACCACTTGCGAAGGTGGGGTCTCCTGCAAGGCTGTGCTTGGGACACTTCCTCCCCACTGTCTCCTGACAACCCTGTGCCCAGTTGCTTTTTTTCCAAGTCCTGGACCCTGACACCAGGCCCAGGTGCCTCCCTCCCTCGGCCCCAATCCTATGCGACTCCCTGTGACCTCTCTCTCTCTCTCTCTCTCTCTCTCTCTCTTGCTGAGCTCATCACCCCCATCCCTGCCATGTCCCCTTGTAGAGCTGGGGAGTGGCCAGCATGGAGGGGTGTAGGGGGAGAGCTTCTGGCCTCTGCCTCCTCCCCCAACCCTGGAGAGCAGAGAGAAGCACTGCTATTTTGTTCTTGTCTCTCACCTGTCCGGGGCAGAATCTATCCTGTGCTACGACGAGAACGCCACCATAGTGAACGGGGTCACATTGGACTTTGACTTCCAGGGTGAGTGCAGCTGTGTGGGGCTTCCCGGAGGAAAGAGGCGGTGGTGGGTGGTGCTGGTAAATATGTATGAGGTTGCAGGGGAGGAGAGGGTTTGCTGTTAGGAGGCTGACCAGTGCTGCCCCCGACCCTCCTGCAGAGCAATGCACCAAGAAGGCTGCCAAGGACTTCTCCCAGTACTACTACGTGGACAAGGTGGATGGGAAGCTGGCCTGTGTGACCAGGTGCACTCCAGGCACCAAGTCGCAACTCAACTGCAATGAAGGCCAGTGCCGGCTGCAGCGCAGTGGCCCCCGCTGTGTGTGAGTGCCCAGCCCTGCTGGGGGGAGGCCCTCCTCTGCTCTCCCCATCTCCCACGGTGGCCATGCTGGGGTGGGGGGTAAAGTGGGCGTGGGCAGAACAGGGAGGTTTGCCTGCTCCCTCCTCTCTTCTGTATGTGGGGTTCCTACGCTACCCCCCTCCATACCCCTCACTCCCATGGGAGTTGGGGGGCAGGTACAGATCATAATCTATGGACACCCAGGGCCAGGGCTGTAAAAGCTATCTCTTAAGCAAGTTCAAGTTAACAGCATGCGCGTCTCTCTGTCTGCTTGTCCCTATCTGCCCTGCCTCTATTGCTCTCTCCGCTTCTCCTAGAGTCCCTTATGCCATCTCAGCTACTGAGTTGCTGTCACTTCTAACCATAACCTGGACACCAAGTTCATGAGGCCATAAATTAAGGTGTGACCTGTAATAGGTGATAACAAGTCCACCACAGTCCCAGGGGGTGGCAAAATGACATCACGAAGCTGGGATGAGGCATCAGTGTTCCTCCTGTCCCTGTGAGCCCCCGGGGCGGGGGTAGGGAGAGGCTATCCCCTCCCTCTGCTCCCCACCCCCTGCCCAGTCCTGGACTCCCCTATCCTCTGCCTGCTCCACAGGCTCCCAGCTGTCTAGCTGGCTGTGAGAGTGCCCTGCTTTGCGTGTTGGCCTTGGCTTTGGGGAGACGATGTACTTGCCTGTGGGCTGGAGCCAGAACCTGTGTGTGTGCCCCCAGGTGCTCCAACACAGACACTCACTGGTACTGGGGGGACACCTGCGAACACAGCACCAACAAGACGCTCGTGTACGGGATAGTGGGGGCTGTGCTGGCCGTGCTGGCAGTCCTCGTGGTCGTCCTCGTGTTCCTCCTCGGCCGATCGCAGAGGAAGTTGCATAGGTGAGCCGGTGGGGTCAGGTGGCCGCTGTCTGGTTGTCCCCAAGGCACAGCTTCTGTCAGCTGGGCAGGTACCTGTCACCTGAGGCCACAGAGGGTGCCCAGCCCCTCCTGGCCCCAGGCATAGCCATCTGATGGGACTGGGTCCACCTGTTAGGGAAGTCGATAAGGAGAGGAAACTTATCAATTGAAATGGAACTAAGTACAGAAGTCACCTGTTCCTGGGTGATCCTAATGAGCCTGGTTGGACCATAGAGTCTCACAAAATATACCTGCCCCTGGGCTGGCCTTGGGAGGGAGTTACCCTGAGTCAGGTGCAATGCCCCATGCCCAAGGAAGGCAAGGAGGCCCTGGTGACCTTGCTCTTCCATCTTTGTCACCAACTTGGAACTGTGGCTGGGACAGTCCCCTTGCCCCTGTCCCCAGTGGGGGGAAGCTGGAGGCCAGGATATGCTGAACTCCCTCCTGTGCCTCGGGCTGCTCATGGCATTTCTGTTGCCAGGCAAAATAAGTATGACGTGTCGCAAGAGTGGCAGAAAGAGAGCATCCCTGGCAGTTTCCAGAACACAGGCGTCTGGGAAGGTACCAGGGGCAGGTTCAGGGTGGCAGTGGGAAGAGGTGGGGAACTGCAGGCCAGTCCTGCAGTTGCGACAGCCTGGTCTGCTCACTGCTACTGCTGCTGCTGCCTGGAAGTCCCTGCACTTGCTCTGTGTGCCCTCAGCCTCAAGTCCAGGGAGGGTATGGGTAGTGGGTGATGAGGTGGTGAAGTTGAACTGGGGTCTGGAAGGTGACAGCGAGGGTGGCTCCCTAGACAGGGGTGGCAGTGCCGACCAGATGAGAGGGGGCAGAAGGAAGGCTGCTTTGCCTGCTGTGGTTACCGTTGCTATGAGGTGGCTGTATCCTGCCGTTGGCCTCACCCGGCCTCGTCACTCCTGGCCAGGGCCTGCCAGTGCCCGTGGCTGTGACGTTTAACCTACAGCTTGTTGTGAGGGCCTCGACCCTGGGTCACACTGCACCTGCCCAGATTCCAAGGATGAGCCATGAGCTGGGCGGGCTGCTCAGGGTGGAGACTGGACTGGGTCTTCAGACCAACTCTCTTCCTGGGATCTCCGTGCTACCCCTGCCTCCGTGCCCACGCTCAGACCCCCTCCCCCAACAGGCAAGAATCTGCAGGGGGACAGATACGGACGTGAGAATGTCTACAGTAACTTCCGGCCCTCCCTGGACAACGTGAGCCCCAACACACAGGTGACAACCAGGAGCACCCCAGCCTTGAAACCCCACCTACACTTTACCCCATCCCTGGGACCTCACCCCTAGGACCACATTGCACCCCCTGGGTCCCTACCTCTGGGCCCCCAGCTCACTCTGGTGGATTCTCCCTATCCCTGGATCCCCAGCCCACTGCTGGGGGGGGGGTGCCACAGGCTACCCTCATCCTCACCTCTCCCTTCTCCCCCCCTACAGTTCCACATCCAGCGACCAGAGGTGGTGAAAACGGTGCCCTGAGAGGGACAAGGGTTCCCACCCTTCACAGGACTCTGGATTAGACTATCACAGACAGAAGTGGCCAAGGGCGGCACGAGGCCAGTCAGGATCCTGTGGGAGCTGCTGGGAGCTGCTGGGAGCTGTGAGTCCCAAGCCCTCAGCACCCCCACCGCCCCTGTTGGGAGCCTCTGGGCCTGTAGACAGCTCGGCAGCCCTGTCCATGCAGGGTGACTCCCCACCCTGGAATTTCCCCATCAATAAAAGCAATTTTTCAAGTGCAGAGTGTGATGCAAGCGTTTTCCATTTTTGGGCAAGGGGCAGGGCCAAAGCCGGCAGGGGTGGAAGGCTGCAGAGGGCCTTCCCACACTGTGAGTCTTGTCTTTCTGGGCCCAGAAAGGAGTCCCCTGCCTGCTCCAGCTGAGGCAGTGCCAGCCCTCCCGCCATCTACCGCTCTGCTTGAAGGGTCTGGCCTTCAAGCAGAAGGGTGGGAGGGGCAAGCTGTTCCCTCTGACCTTTGCAGGTGTGGGGATGGGGTGGGGGCTAAGGTCACTTCAGATGCCATGGGGGGCTGGGGAGAGGCCCTTGCTCACTTCTGAACCCACACAGCCCAGGACTGCCTGAGCACTGAGCCATGTTTGGCTGCAACCTGCTGCACCCTGTCTCCTGCCAGGGCTCCTCAAAAGGCAGCTTTAAGAGGGGTCTTGGAGGAAGGGTTGGCCTTGACAGAAGTTGGGATCTGACACAGGGAGCTCTTTCCCCCTGTTCAGCCTGCCACCCCACTCCCAACTCTGCCCCCTGTTCCCCAAGGATTTTACCTCACAACTCCCTGGCTTCTTGGGCCTCTGTGCTGTCCCTCTGTTTGTGTGACAAGTCTGGGGTGCAGCCTGGCCAGAGAAGGGAACCCCTCCCTCTGCCCTTTGGCCCGCACCCCAGGCACAGAGAGGAGTCCACACTGACTCAGGTTGCAACGGGCCCCCAGACTCTCAGTGTCTTGGGCGGGCAAAGGTCTCTGGAGCTCATATATTCCTGGGGCTCCGGGGCTGGGCTTCATTCAAAGCTGACAGGCAGACGCGCCGGCCTCCGCACTCCAATGGCAGGATCCAAGCCCATGATCATGGCCACGGCGCTCTGCCTGCTGGCCCTCATCCTGCAGCTCCTGGTCCCCTGTGCTACTGCTGAGCAGGGTGAGTGAGCCCCACACTCCGCTCCCTTCTCTTTGGGCCTCTTTGCAGCACCTGTTGGGGATGTGTGAGGCCCAGGTCTGGGGTACTCCCACCTGCAGCTTAACTCCTTGAACTCTAACTTCTCCTGGGTGGTCTGTGCTGGAGAAGTCAGGGCTGTGGAGTCTCTTCCACTAGGTCGGGCTGACTGGGCAGAGAGGGCCAGGCTGCTGGACCTGGTGTAGACAGATGCCTACCAACACTGGGGTTGTCCTCTCCCAGCCCGATTTGCCATCTGTGCCCCTGCTAGGTCCTGGATGCCCAGGCTGCCCTGGAATAGGACATAGAACATGGGTCTTGAAGCTCTGTCTCCCTCCAACTCCAACAGCAGTCTGGTCACTTCTGATCTCCCTGCTGGGCCCCTGGTGTTGTCACACAGTGGCTGGCAGGGGTTCCAGAACTGGGAGAGAGGCCCCTGCTGTGGCCAAGGGGGTATGGGACACAAGGTGATATTTCAGGAGCCGCAGCCCAGCAGGGGGACATGGGGCTACTCTAATCTCTGGTCTTAATTTGCCCCCCCCCCAAAAAAGAGAGAAGGTTCAGGGCTTATAAGGATCTTTACTGCTTGGAACTCCACAGCAGTTGGGGGGGTCAGCCGGAAGCACAGTGGGTCCCTGCTCCTTTGGGAACCCCGCGCCCCTTGCCTGTCCCCAGAGAAGAAGGAGGAAAGCAAATTGCAAGCAGGTGTTTGCTCTATTGCTGTAGGAGGGGCAGGGCTGGCAGGCAGGGGCTTACAGCCAGCAGCGGGACCAGCCCTCATGGATATCACCTGTACAGGACTGCCCTGGACTTTGTCCTGCTTGGGGCTCACACAGCAGGTGCAGGAGCAGATCCAGTCCCCAGGCTCCAGCCTCTGCCAGGATGACATGAGCTGTGGTGGGTGGTGGACGCAGGACACAATGCTTGGGCCTAGAGCTCCTTCATGGTGGCTCTGGGATACTGTCAGGACAGGGCTTCCTGCCTCTTGTCCACCTTGTCCTCTGCGCCTCTCCTCCACCCTCCCAGGCCCCTTTCTCTGACTCTCTTGCCCTCTCTCTTCTCTCACCACGTCCTTGGTCGCTCCCCTCCTGCTCCATGCTGGAACCCTCCCTCCTGGGCCTCAGTCTTCCCCTTTATAAAAGGGGAGTTGTTAGATTCTGTTCCTGCTGCCCAGTGTGCTAGGGGTCTCTTCTCTCTGGGCTGTCCTCAGCCAGCATCAGGGCCTCCTCCCAGGTCCCCTTGGACATGATTCTGCCTCTGTCAGGGGATGCCAGGGCAGGGCGTGAACCCAGAGAAGGAATCTGATGGCCTTGATGGACTCTGAGCAGGCGCGAGTCTACACGGGAACACCCTCCCAGCATCGAGCTCCAGGTGCTGTTTCTATCAACAGGACACTAAGTTCTAATGACTGGCCCAACCTTTGCTGTTAGCAGGTGTCTTCTATCCTCCACACCCAGCCTGAGTGTGACCAAGGCCTGGGGCTTGGTCACTGGTCTACAACACAAATCCCTCTGTCTTCCCCCCAACCTGGGTCTTTCTCCTGTCCTCTTTTCTCCCACTCCTTCTTCCTCCCGAGGGTCTAGACATCACTCCTCCAAGGGCCTGCCTGGGCTAGCACCTTTTCCAGGGTCACCTCCTGTGAGGAGCTTGCAGTAGCTTCTCCCACTTCACACTCAGCAAGATTGGCTTTGGGGAGCCCTTGTCGCCAAGGATTTTCTCAGAGTGGCAGAGAGTCAACCCTCTCACAGCCCTGGAGACCCCCAAGTGCCAGATGGATCTGGCAGCCAGTCTGCGCTCTCCTGGAGGCCCAAAGAGGGCCCAGTTCCAGGCCAAGCTTCTGGGGCCTCACTGGCCATGTTAGAGGATCCTCTTCTTGAAGATGAGTCCCCCACTATCCCTTTATGATTTCCCCATCTTTGTGGGAATTTCTCTCCCTGTGTCTGTGTCTGTCTGGGGCCAGATTTTTCCTCTTGCCTTTTTTTTTTTTTTTTTAAGGATTTATTTATTTGAAAGGCACATAAAGAGAGCGAGAGAGCGAGAGAGCACGCGCGCGAGAGAAAGAGAGCCAGAGAGAAGAGAGAGAGAGTCTCCATCTACTGGTTCACTCCCCAAATAGCAATCATGGCCAGAGCTGGGGCTGAAGCCGGGAGCCAGGAGCCTCCTCCAGGCCTCCCATGTGAGTGCAGGGGTCCAAGCCATTGGGTCATCCTCTGCTGCTTTCCTAGGCCATTAGCAGGGAGCTGGGTTAGAAGTGGAGCAGCTGGGACTCTCACTGCTGATCACATGGGATGTCAGCATCGCAAGTAGCAGGTTAACCTATTAGATTAGGGCCCAAGCTAAAGACCCCAGTGTAACTTGATTGCTTGCAAAGACGGAGACTCCAAGTAGCCTGGGCTCTGAGAAGCTGGCTGAGAGCTGCTGTGTGACCCCTGACAGAAGGGGCATGGAGGGAGGAGACCCGTGGTGACTGCAGCTACTCCTGCCTCCTTTCCCCGCTTTCCGCCAGTGCCACCCCCATGCCCTGCCACCCAGCCCCAGCTCACAGCCCATAGCCCTTCCATCTGAGATCCCAATCAACTCTTTCAGCCGCACCAAGCTCAACATATTGCTCTATTCCCAGCCCACAAGGAGGGAACCATCCCCAAAACAAAATGCTCAATTGGAAAGTGTCAAGTCCTGGCCCAGTGGACACCTGAATATGACTGGCAGGCAAGGGTAGTGACCTAATGCTCAATTGGCCCAAGGCCAAGGTCACTCCTTCCACCTCAACTGCCCCCCACCCCATCCCCACCCTTGTAAAGTCATCAGTTGCCTTTGCACATTGCATTCCTCAGAACTCAGCGGTCAGTGGGGTCAGGGTCATGGGGCAGGGTGGGGTGAAGATGCTGGCCATGAACCCTTGGACTGTGGACCTGGCTCAATTTACCTGCTGCAGCCAGAGGTACCGCCTCTCCAAATGCATGCCGGGGTTCAACCCCAGTGCCAAGTTCACCTCCCATGAGGAACCCCCTCAGCCTTGCCAGGATGGGCTGGCTTAGGAGGCCAGGCTACCGTGTGGCCGTAACGACCACCAGGGGCCGTGGGACACCCCTTCACAATGTCCCTGGCTCAGCCTTGGCCCAGCGGGTGCTGCTGGCTACCAGCACCTCCCCAGGGGTAGCTGATGGGCCTGGGGCCTCCCCTGGGCTCTGGCCAGGATTCACTGTGAGATTGGCAGGACATGGGGCAGTGTGGAGGTGCAGGGTCCCTCAGTCAAGGATAGTTTGCAGCTGGGGAACAGGCAAGGGAGTAATGAAGCCAAGTGCTAGGCTCCCCTAAGCACAGGGAACCCATCTAGCCATGCACATGGATGGAAAACCGATGAAAAAAAAACCTTAATTTAAAAAAATGAACGAAAAAAAAGTACTTTCCCAGCCACACCTTCCTCCTCTATTAAAGTAGGGGCAGGGTGGAGAGGGCATCTGGGAAAAAAAAAAAGCCTAGTTTCTATAGGAATTATTATTATTACTATTATTATTATCTTCTCTCCTTGAGGAGATGGATTTGGGGGGAGGTAGGTATTTTCTTCTACTGCTTTGATTGGTTAGACTATAAGCTTATTATTATTATTATTATTATTATTTTACTTCTTGCCTGGAAGAATGCTTACAAAGGAAATCACTTGCATTTTAAAATTTCTAAAACATTTTCAGCGTTTTCACAAATCTTACACCTCTTGTCTCCTGCTTCAAAATCACAAGAAAATGAATACTTCCAATGAGCCACCTTTAAAATGTTTTAGTTTTTATTGATTTATTTGAGGGCAAGAGAGAGACACAGAGG